ATAGGTAAGAAGAAAAGAATGACCAGAATTACAGCCCTGTCCTGGAAGTTAAGAAGCGTATTCGCCAGGTCATATACTTTTCAGTGTCTGCAAAACGAATGAACAATCGCAATTCTTGTTACAGTTTGTCCGGCTGCTTTAGTACATGAGTCAAATTTCCATCTGACTTCTTTCAAATCTTAAAGCAAAAGTACATTGACAATTAAGTGCACTTATTCAAAATGGATGCTTAGAAATACGGCTGCGTGACTAAATTGAAGACGGAATCTAAACAATTAAACACTAGCTTCGGCATGAGTACAGAAACTTATTGCTTCGTCTTTTTTATTGCTTGATGAGGGATAGAAAGCCTGAAATTTCGCACCACAGGAAAGTCATATTAGAAGGAAACACGGCAACGCCCCGTAACCCATACCCTAAAAATTTTTCTGACCACGACAACTGCAGAGAGATAGGATCTGTCAATTCATGGTAATACCAATTACAGAACTGGAGAGAAGTTGAGGATTCCGTTTTTATATTTAGCACTTTGAGGAACTACTTTATTGACTAAAACAAGGGCCATGGAGCAGATAAAATTCTGATGTTTCAGTAACGAAAGGTTTCTATAGAAAATATTGAATAGCTCGAGACCATAAGTTTTTTGGAAGCAGTTTCTGTTGCCTTTTATGTTACATACCTTACTTTTTGCCCCATGCAACAATTTAGAGCGCAAAGTAAATGGTAATAGTATGCAATAAATCAATGAGGCGTGTAGGTCACGACTGCTGTTTGATGTTTAGACACAGTAGTTTTGCTGAGTCACCCGAATAATTGAGGTTTAATTCCTTTCTACAGCAACGCCAGCCCCGTTTTTTTTACAACTGCAAGCCACACCAGGCGAGAATGTATGCGTTACTTGCAATTCATCGCAGCAAGATTTTGCCTTCATGCCGTAACAGCAAAGTAATCTGCCCTAGTGAACTGCCCCCTTAAAACATTTTTAAATAGTATGAGGGGTCCTGTCTGAGCACAAACCCAGCCTTGAGTAAAAAAAAGGACGGATATACCTATTAATCAAAACTTGTCCCATCTTCAAACAGCCTTGCGCAGAAGCCATTCCCTACGAATAACAAATCAAAGATTCACAAGTGAAGCATTTTAGAGCCAAACAGTCTTTGCAGGAGGCGCTAAAAAGCAGCAGTGTCCTCTTCTGCTGAACTTCAACCTCTTTCTCACTTCGCTTACTTCACTAGCTCTACGTATTTTGTTATTGACAGCTTCAGGAAGCTCAAAGCTCTTTGCTGCATCAAGAGAATTCTGAAGCTGAACTATGAATTCTAATTGAGTGTTTGCCATCAAATACAAGAAGTAAGCTACAATTCTCTTTGCCTCCAAAGTAATATCTCGAAAATAGAACCTTGGTATTTATTACTGCGGCGTAGCTACAATAATAGGGTTAGCAATAGATGTTACTGTCAACGGTAACCTCAAAATCCATAAGGCAATAGGTAAACTTAAGCAACAACAGAAGTCAAGTTTTAGACTTGTTCTCTTTTAGCCTTTTAAATGGATAAAATTCGCTGGCGCTAGTTTTAGAAAACCTTTCATTGTTCCGAAATAGAAGCTAAGGATTTTAGGACAGTTTGCTAGTTTTAAGTTTTTGAGGAACTAGACGCCTGTCTTGCCCTGTCAAAAAAGAAACACAAGACGACTTAAATTTTTTCAATGTTCAAATTCTTGATTTTTTGCTGTGATATTTTTTACAGTGATAAAGTTGGAAAAGAATGTTTTTTTTCCAAGTTTTGAGTTGTAGTTTAAGAAGAGGTTGTATTCTTTGATCAAGGTGTGGTGAACCACTTTTAATCATAACTGGAAATGAGAATTACACTTGGGTATCCTCAATATTTTAATGCACTAATTAGTGGTTTTAGTGATAGCAACTTACTACGAGATGGGACATCTACGTCCACGAATGAAAGCAAAACCCAATTTATCAGGAAAACAAACTTGTCAATTTTAGTAAAAGTCATAATGAAGATCAAAAATAGCGAGTTTGAAAACCTAGTTTTCCTTGGTTTAGAGGAATTTGTGAGAAAAGTAGACAGTTATGTGGGAACAATACAAAAAATTACTTTATCAAAACGAATGAGGTGTGTAAGATACGCCCTCAGATTGCGCTCTTTAAAGTGCTGTGTTCAAATTTTACGCAGGATTTTATCTTCTTTTTTTTTTT